CCCTCATGCTGCCTTCTGTGATGACCTAATTGTCCCAGGCTGGCAGATCATTTTTCTCCTCTGTCTCCAGATCCAGATTTTCCTCCTCAAAATGAATAACAAGAAGCGCATCCTGGTGCGGCTGGAGCGTCTCACCATCTTCATGGTGGAGCAGGAGAATTCCCTGGAGAACGCTGTCTCCTACTACCTGGGTGGTGTGCCCCCAGCTGTGCTGCCCCCCAGGTGGGTCCAACCCACGGTGGGGTGGGACAGTCCACATCTTCCCCTCTGCTGTCCTTGGTGGTGGCCCTGACCCTTTCTCAGCCACGTCCAGGGATGTTGGGATCCTGCTGAGGCTTTGGGGGGAGATATCCTCTTCCTGCCCATCACTGTGAGCTGTTGAGGATGGACATCTCCATCCCTGCCGAGGGATGAGGTGCTGATGGGTGTCATTGAGTTCTCTTTTGCCATGCTGGGTGCTTTGGAGCAGCCTTGTGCTTGAGGCACTGGAGATACCCGTGGTCATCATGGGTCCTTCCCAGACACTGTTTGAAGGGCTGCAGGGCTAGATTGTGCCTGGGACTGTCCTCATAACACCACTCACTTCTCCTGCAGCTTGAAAGTGCTCTTCCCCACCGGTGGGCCCATCCGGGGCTGCATGAAGGGCTTGAAGGCTCTGGGCAAATATGTTGACCTGAAGCGTATGAGCACTGTTGGCGTGAGCTACGGGTGCACCTCGGACCTCCTGGTAAGCACAAGGCCCTGGCAGCCTGGCCAGCGTGCTGGGGAGAGGGTCTGTCAGGGACCCCCAGGACAGGCCTGGTCTCCCTCGGTCACATAGAAACAAGATAAAAAACCCCCAGGTCCTCAGTGCAGAGGGGTTGTGTCAAGGTGCTCCACATGGACCCAGCAAGGACCTGAGCACCTCAGTCACCCTTCCAGCACCCCTGAAGCACCAAGGCTGGGCTCACCTCACCCCCACGGTGTCCCTTGCAGGTGGCTCGTTCAGTCAGTGTCCATGGCCATGGCTACCTGACCCTGGCCTTGAAGGACGTGCCAGGGCTGCGGGACTTCTACAGCGGCTTCAGCTTCCGGACGAG